ACCTAATTAGGTCTCTTTAAGAGAAGTATCTAGAGAAGGAAATGGCAACCTGATCCAGTACTCTTGCCTGGAGAATTCCATGGACAGAGGAGCGGGACAGGCTGTAGTTCATGGAATCACAAAGAGTAGGACACAACTGTGCAACTAACTTAACTTTCAAGAGGAGTATCTAGTTCCAGACCACTCCCCAGAGTGACCAGGACTCTAGTTTTGTGAAATACCCTGGATGGCGGTGAGGGGGTGCGGTTTACTCTGCAAGATAGATGGAGGCCATACCTGTTAGGGTGTTGTCACCACACCTGTTCATTCAGTTCTACAAACGTTTGTTGATCCACACATGCTGACTTGGGCACATTTCTTTCCCAACTGCCAGCATCATGGTTGGGATATCCCAACTAGTGAGAGGTCAGAAAGATGGTCATCTCACTGCAGGTTGTGGTTTAAACCTCTGTAACTCTGCATGCTGTGGGTGGGCTGCTTTTGAGAACAAAAGAGAGAAACCTGATTGCTGTGTGTTAGAACATCCCAAACCACACAGGTAGTTTAAGATCCTGATTGTTCGCTCTTTGCTCATTCCTTTCTTGGATTTCTTTTCAGAGAACCCGGGGGCTGGTAAAAATCAGGCTTCACTTGGACCCGGTTTGAATTCTGACTGAGGTGGCAAGAGCAGTTCAAAGCCTGTCTTTAAATTTAGATTTTCAGGGGGCAGTGGAGTGTTGCTTATGGGTAGGTGTTGTGGTCTTCTTGACAGCACACTTTTGAAAAGGAGAGATAGATTCTCTGGTGTTCAGGACCAGAGCAGCTGGCTTCTGATAGGCTGATTTGGATGACAGATCTGGGTTCACACAGAGACACATGAGGCCCGTTTTGTTGTTCAGCAAAAAAGCATTGACTCCAGTTTTTTAAATTTTTATTTATTTAAATATTTTTGCCTACGCCTTGTGGTTTATGGGATCTTGGTTCCCCGACCAGGCCTTGAACTCAGGCCCTCAGTGGTAAAAGCAGAAAGTCCTCATTACTGGACCACCAGGGAATTCCCGCCTCCAGTTTTTAAATGTAGTCCAGAATAGGTCGTCTTAGTCACTTTGTCCCCCTGAATCAGGAGGTATTGCCACTAAGCACTGGCCTAAAGGGGGAGACCTGGGGATGAAAGGATCACAGATGGTCCAAGAGTGGCGGTCACAGCCGGCCTCAACCCAGTGAGTCTCTTTATGGGTCCCTTCTTGGGCCTACCTCTCAAGGGAGGCAGCTACTGGAGCAGAGGCACAGACATGCTCTGAGTTTGAGCGGTGAAGACAGTGGGTGGAAACGTCCCTGCAGTACGTTTGCTGAATACAGGAGCATTCGGGGTTGGCCAGGTGTCCTTGGGGGCTGATGTTCTACACAGTGACTGTATTGTTCTCCAGTGGTCCAAGGGTGGTTTTCTCTCCGGACTGTCTCGATTCATCAGATAGCATTTTTCGAAGAGATCCCCTGAATCAACTTCGGGTGAACCTTGGTCCCTTCGAATGAGGGAGTTGGGCTGTGGATGTCTCCAGTGGTGTCAAATAAGTATCATTGTGGACTCATGTGTACTGTTCACATGCTGAATCTGTTTTAGTCATATACTTGTAACATTTTCTTAGAAGATTCAAACATACAGAAAAAGTGACAGTGTTTTACAGTCAGCGCTTGCCTGTTTGTACGCCTGAGTTCTCCGTTGACTTCAGCTGTGTTTCACGCTTCTCTCCTTCTCTATTCTCGTCTTTCAGCCACTTTATTTTCATTGAAATAGAGCTGGTGTGTGTGTGCACGTTTGCTCAGTCCCGCCCAACTCTTTGCTACCCTGTGGACTATAGCCCACCAGACTCCTCTGTCCGTGGGATTTCTGGGCAAAGATACTGGAGTGGGTTGCCATTCCCTCAGTTGGGAAGCTCCCCAACTGAGGGATCAACTCTGTCTTCTGCATTGGCAGGTGGACGCTTTACTACTGCACCACTTGGGAAGCCCTAGAGTTAATAGTATCTGTTTTTATGATACTTTTCAAGGTAGCAGAAAGTTGTAGTCTTTCCTCTAGATACTAACTGGAGTCCAGTATTTATTTAAAGTTTTTTGGCTTTTTTTTCTTTTGAGGTAAATGCACAGATCTTGCATATACCATTCAGTGGATTTTGGTCAGTGCACATCCCCCACAATATTATCAAGGTGCAGACTGTGACCACCACCCCAGAAAGCTCCTGGCATCCTTTCCAGGTGTCTCTGCCACCATCCCATGGAGGTGATTGCAGATTAGTTTGGTTTTTCTGCTGCATTGGAGGACTTCATACAGGTCTTTTTTTGTTTTTGATACTCGGTTGCCTCAAATATAGCTAGTGGGAGCCCTCACAAGTCAGCTCCTTTGTCCTTTGGACGTGCCAGCAGTAATCACTGAGCACTTCCTTCCCTTTATTTTCTTTTCCCCAACTCTTATTTTTTGACCATGCGACACAGCATGTGGGATGTTAGTTCCCCTACCAGGGATCAAACCTGTGCCTCCTGCTTTGAAAGCGAAGTCTTAACCACTGGACCACCAGGAAAGTCTCTTCCTGGCTTTCTGATACTGCATTTTGACCCAGGCTCACCCACCATGGTTCTGCATCAGGTGCTGAATCAACTACTTCTTCTGGGAGCTCCTTTTAGAAGATCTTAGACAGTATCAGTCCTACAAAGCCCTTAATAAAAAGATCTTTGGCCCCTGGAATCTTGGTTTAAACCCTCTGTTACTTTTAAGCCTCTGTATCTGATATCTGTGGTGGAGGAAGACTAAGATGAGGAAGTGGTAAGTATAGAGAGGTGATGCGTTGGCTTCTGGCACCATGTTGAATTTGGCGGGAAGGCATTTGTCCTTTAGGGTGGCCAGGTCCACAGGAACGGGGGACTTGCCTACCATGTTCATCACTGTCCCAGCCTCTGGCTCAGGGCCTGGTCCAGGGGAGGTGCACACAGAATACTTCTGAGTAAGTCAGTACAGTGGTAAACATCATCCTTCTTTATCAAGTTGATGAAGTTTCAGTGTAGATTTGGCCAGGACTGGTGATTGTTTACCATGGGCTCCTCACCAGTCAGTTGTGATTTCCGACAGCCTGCTTCTTGTCGGTTTATAATTTATTTTCTGAGATTTGGTTTACATTTTAGATTACCTGCCATGGCTGCACTTTTGTAGGAATTCTTCAGTTTGCTATGCACTTAAAAAAGAACTATTATGGAAATTTTCAGACACGCACAGTGATCCCCATTCTACCCATCTCCATCTTCAAAAGGTATTAACGTTTTCCAGTGTTGGTTTGTCCTGTTCCCTTTTCCACTCCCCACCTCACCCCTAAATTTTATTTTATTTTTTAATATTTATTTTTATTTGACTGCTCCGGGTCTTAGTTGCAGCATGTGAACTCTTAGTTGTGGCATGTGGGATCTAGATTCCTGACCAGCGATTGAACCCAGGCCCCCTGCATTGGGAGTGCAGGGTTTTACCTTCTGGATCACCAGGGAAGTCCCTCAGTGAAGTATTTTAAAGCAAGCAAAAACCAGGCGTGTAGTTTAAGCCATAAATTTATCTTTAATGTGTATGTGAGGTAAAGATGTTCTTTTCAAACACAGCCATAGTGTCATTCATTCCTTATGCAGGATGTGCTTTTGCATGTGCTTATTATTAGCCCACAACAATCTGATGATGTACTTCTTGTCTGTAGTAGAAGTCTGCTTTTTTTTTTAGGGTTTGTGGGATTTGTGCTCCATGCTTTCCACAGGCCAACTCATCTAATTTTCACATTCCCCTTGAAGAGGTAGAGGGGTAGATTCCATGTTGCAGGTTGAAGGAAGCTCCAAGGAACTTGAAGGCCACACAGGTAGTGGCAAAAGCTCCCACTTGGTGACTACTGAGTGGCTTACCAAGGGCTCAGGCACAGCCAAGGCTGAGCCCAGGGACTTGTGGTCCTCTTCCTTCCCTCCCTCCCCTGTCAGGAAGCATTGGACCCCATATGTCCTTTTGCCTGACTCTGCAGGAGTATCACTTCTCATTCCACCCTTAGATTTTTAGGTTTTAGTTGGCAGCCCCTAAGTTTTCAATGAGATAGTTAGCTAGTCCTAAAGCATTGTGGGAAATTCTCTTTGGGGCTAGTCCTGTCAGAGTTTATCCTTGAAGTGAATGCCTTTCTGAGATGAACCTGCTGCGCTGGCTGGTAACAACCGGTGTGGATGGAAGGGGCTAGCTGTTATGTGGTTGGAGGGAATGGGTGGAGTCAATCTGTTGCCTACTCTGCTGATGGGGCTTTTTGGGTTGTTTACTCATTTGGAAGATTTCAGTGTGGACCAGACTGTTTGCACAGAGTGGGAATTGAGTAGGTTGTAGTCAGCATGTTATTTAGAGTCGAAAATTGTAATTATAGCTACATTTGTCTTGGAGACTTGTGTTGTCCTTTTCAGTTGTCTCAACCACTCCAGAGCTGCACCCTGGGGGTGGCCACGTCCCCCTTGTGCTTCAGAAGGTTCTTGCCGTGCCAGTTCACAGCAGCCATCTGGGGCCCTCTGTTTCCTGCTCTTGTTCCATGTCTTCATGACCCTCAAGGGTCAGAGCTTGCTCCTTCCTTCCTTCTCTTTTTCTTCTCCAAACACCAAGATTTTGCTGAACATTTTAACCCATACCATTTAGGGGCGGCTTGGTAATAGGTTTATTTGTAAAACTTGGCATACTTCATATGGAGAAATTGTTGAAAAGAGATTTTTTAAAAAGTAAAAATCATCTTGAATGTGGGCCTGAAATCAAACGTGGCTTCTAGAAACCAGCTGTTTTCATTTTTGGGGAGTTTTATAATTAGTTGTTTGTACCTTGGGTTAGTGATTACTTGAAAATAGAGATGTGTCCTGCTGTGTTAACAGACTCCTTCCTGAGGCAGCACCGCTTTCCTCCTGCGGGATTATCTGACTGCTCAGACTCCTCCGCCGATGAAATACATGAAACTAAAAAAGATTTTCTGATCTTATAGATAGTTGAAGTATTGATAACACCAAGGAAATCTGTCACAATTTGAAAAGATAAGCAAAAATTTGATTTCCAGACACTACAGATAAAGAGAAGTAAAAATGGTAAGAAATTTATTTTGTTAATCATAGATACTATTTCTTCATTCACGTACAAAAATATTTGTGGTGTTGCCCCAAAGCATTTCTTTTTTTTTTTTTCCTGAAGTATAGCTGACTTACAGTATATTAGTTTCAGGTGTACAACAGTCATTTCATATTTGTGTATGTTATATTCCACATAAAGTTATCATAAAATACTGGCTACATTCCCTATTGTCCTTTTAATTTATTTTATATGTGGTAATTTGTACCTCTCAATCGCCTTCACCTGTCTTGCCTCCCCAAAGCATTTGGTTTTATAATCATTTTTCATTAGACTCTTTGAAGTAGTGTAACAGTTCTAGTAATAGAGAAATGTATAATGTTCCCCCTTCTTCCCGTGGGTTAGAGAAAGCACAACTGTTATGTTTGGTTGTCCTTCTCAGATCTTCAGATGTGTTCATATAGTCTTACTTTCATGTGCGTAATTGTGAGCTGTACAACTGAACAGATAAGCGTCAAGCTGCTTGGTCTCCTTACATAGTTTTTAACTAAGTTTTCACATTTCCAGCGTCCAGTTCGAATTTTTGTGAATGATGATCGCCATGTGATGGCAAAGCACTCTTCCGTTTACCCAACACAAGAGGAGCTGGAGGCAGTCCAAAACATGGTGTCCCACACAGAGCGGGCTCTCAAAGCTGTGTCGGACTGGATCGATGAGCAGGAGAAAGGCAGCAGCGACCATGCCGAGTCTGAGAATGTGGATGTGCCCGCGGAAGACGAGGGAAAAGAAGGGGCTGGGTAGGTTGGCTTTGTAGGATGTTTTTCTTATTTCTAGGGAGACTGGCCAGTGCAGCGTTGAGCCTCTCCTTTTTCTAAGAAACTCCAGCCTTTCCGGGGCCCCTGGGTTCTGGCCAGCCTGCACCTCACTGGGCCTGTGTTGGGCTGTTCTCAGGGAGCAGAAGACAGAGCACATGACCAGAACCCTGAGGGGAGTGATGCGTGTTGGCCTCGTGGCAAAGGGCCTTCTGCTCAAGGGGGACTTGGACTTGGAGCTGGTGCTGCTGTGTAAGGAGAAGCCCACAACCGCCCTCCTGGACAAGGTGGCTGACAACCTGGCCATCCAGCTCACTGTGAGTGCCCACTTCCACTGGGGACGCAGGGTGGTGGGGGGCAGACGTGACCAACTGCGCTGTGTGCTGGGAGGCGTGTTCCACACCCGGCCTGGCCCCTGCTGTTCTCACGTGTCTGTAGCTGCCCGGCAGCTGCACCAGGCTGGGCGCCCACTGTGTACCAGGTGGCATTGGGCATGACCGTCACATCTAGACTCCAGCAGTGGATGGATGGGCGGGTGGCTGCAAAGGGTATTCCTCCTTGATGCAAACCTGGACTTTAAAAAAGTTGTTTTTAACCGATTTATTTGCCTCACTACAGAAGTACTATATAAATAGTAACTTCTGGCATTTCTTCAGCATTGACTGAACCAGGCCCTAGGCCAGACGAGCTCTGCACACATATCATTTCATCATGACTGAGGTGGGGCTTGATCATCTTAAGTACTCTAGTAGATTTGCCTGTGGTGTGGGGAGCTTACCCGGCTGGTGAGGTGTCTGGGCTTCAGAATGTCTGTGTGTCGCTGCCCCTCAGTGCCTCCTGGGGACACTACCCTGGATGCAGCCACAGGATAAGAAAAGAAGAAAGTAGAAATTCTCATCCTGTAGATACACTGTTCATTTTCCCATGTAAATCTTGTTCTGTCACATGTGCCTGATCCCTCAGGGTTCAGGACAGAGGTCAGAATTGAAATGAGCAGCTAATGCAATGTGGAAAGGCTTCGGGGGACTGTTGAAAGGGAAGGCAGCCCTGAACTTTTGTTTTAGTGGTAATTTTTTAAGTTGGTTTCCATCTTTGTCTATTAAAAAGTATATTAAATGTAGGAAATTAAGTTGACATAAATGTTTCTAAAGGAAAGACCATTTTCATAGAGTGTTTATAGAGATAAAGAAAGGTGTTTGGTTTTTTTACCCCCGTTTTTCTCTTTTGGCCACACCATACAGCATGCAGGATCTTAGTTCCCCTACCAAGGATCGAGCCTGTGCCCCCTGCATTGAAAGTGTGGAGTCTCTACTACCAGGGAAGTCCCAAGAAAGTATATTTTTATCATGTAGATGAGTGATTTTTGACTGGGGTACATTTTGAACCCAGGGGGACATGGAGTAAGTTTAGAGGTAGTTTAAGTTATCTCAGCAGAGTAGGTGCGGCGCTACTGGCATCTGTAGGTAGAGGCTGGAGAGGCTTTCCGAGGTCCTCCAGCGCACAGGACGGCCCCACCACTGTGAGTGATCTGACTGGCACGTCTTAACAATGCTGAGGTGGAGGAAAGTCAGCTTGGATCCTCTACAGTGCCTTTGTTCTCCCCAAAACTTTTTATTTCTTTGACAAAAATCATAAATACTCAAGTTTTCTTGATCAGGGCGTATAAATGGTATAAAGAAGAAAGCAGAAGTTACAGTCATGAATGTCGTTTTATAGACGCATGTAGCATGCATTTGCAGCAAGTATGTGCTTCCATAGTCACCACATGAAGCTGTTTCACCACGCAGTTCTCGTTCTGTGCCCTGCGACAGCGGCTCGTCCGTGTGTGGAAGCGGCGGTGGCGGCTGCCCACACCATGCTGGGTCCTATGCTTTCCGTGCCGTGTCCGGTTCAGTTCCTTTGCTGCCTTGGGTGTCGGTCGTGTCTCTAAGTCCATTTTACAAATCAGAAATCATAATCTTGATGAAATAGAGTGATCTGTCGAAAGTTATGTGACTCCCAAGTGACACAGTGAGGATTTCACACCACCACCTCCTCCCAGACCCTAAACTCTTAACGTTGTATTACAAAACTTCCTCTCTCTGCTAAGTAGTCATCTCCTCCCTGGAGTACCTGGAAGATGGCCAAAGACCTGTCCAGTAAGAGGGCGTTCTGACCCCTAGTGGAAGGCGCTGCTGTCAGTCACAACCCAAGAAGTTGGCCTGCAGTCGTAATCAGGAGCTCAAGAGAACTGTTGCTGGTCTTGGGAAACACGTGTTTGACGGTTGCGTTTTCTTTTATAGGCGGTCACAGATGACAAGTATGAAATACTCCAGTCTGTTGATGACGCTGCGATTGTGATAAAAAACACAAAAGAGCCTCCATTGTCCCTGACCATCCACCTGACCTCCCCTGTTGTCAGAGAAGAAATGGAGAAAGTATTAGCTGGAGGTAGGGAGGCTGAGAAAGGCCAGCAGGGCGTTGGCACTGTGGTATCCCCTCACTGTTAAAATGTGCTATGAAGTTTTAGATTGCTCTGATAAAAGGCTAGCGGTATAGCTTTGACCACCTTTCCTTGAGCTCACATCTCCCATTGGGTTTTGGTCCTGGGAGGTTGACAAAACAGTTGCACTAAAAGTGAGTAGTACTTTTCCGAGAGGATTGCACCGTCTTTGTCTGTCTTAATCCTTGGATGTTCTCATCGGTATTAAAGGTGTTTTTTCGGTTGAGCCAGTCTCTGGCCTTGGAAAAGCGTGTCCCCAGTGACTATAGGCTTTAAAGTACGGAAGACAACCAGATGGTTTCTGCATGAGTATCACATTGGACTTGTGCAGACAGCTTGTGTTGCAGTATAACCAGGGCCTCTTTGTTTGTCTTCGTCCACTGGCTGCTGTTACCTGTGGCCATGATCGAGATGCAGAGAGCTGGGGCAGAGTTTTGGATAAAGTTTTTTTTAACAGTGGAGCGATTTTCAGAACAAATCCTGGAACCTCGGAAAGTGCTAATGCTCTCACGATTCCGAGTCCGCCCAGGGCCCCTTGTGCATCTCTGGGTGGATGGTTTTCAGTCATGACTGAAAGTCAGGGTGACCGGCCTTATCCAAACCCCTGACGCACCGATGGTGGCAACGACAAACGCCCAGGTTTTGCTGCAGCACAGGCTTACGCACGCCCTTGTTGAGGTTCCTCGGTGCCCTTTGGTTCCGATACCTGGTTCACCACCAGAGCCCTTCTAGTTTATCAATTCAGGGACGCTGGACCTTTGACCAACAGGACTGACTCTGTCAAGGGCTGGGGCTGGGGCAGTCCCGCCTGGTGGGCGGAGGTGGTCCCCTTTGCCATAGTTGCCTCAGGGGATGACCTGTGGGAGGCAGAGAGGGAGTGCATTTCTACTCCCCCACCTTTTTTTTTTTTTTTCCGGTTTTGGTTTTTGTTTTTTCTTTTTGCTAATGAATTTTTTAGCATAGCTCATTTATTGGGAGATGCTGGGGAGAGGAAGCAAGGTAACCATCTACTAGAAGATAGGGTCCACCTATCTGTCCCCCTCCCCATGGGATTGTTCCTTTTAGAGTACCTTCCCACTTTGTTTTTGTTTTTCTTTTTGTTTTCTTTTTTTCTTTTTCTTTTTTTTTTTGGAGGGGGCCTCTGATTTTTACAATCTCCTCTCGGGGCTGAGTTCAATATGCTCGAGCATCTCCCTCCCTGGTCAAGGGTGGAGAGGACTTGAGATTCTGGGAGCCTCAGCTGCCCTTTAGGAAGCTGCCACATCCCCTTTCCACCTGACAGAAACCCCTTGGTCAAACTGTACCTTGTCTTCTTATTCCATCCATGAATAGAAACGCTATCAGTCAACGACCCCCCGGACGTTCTGGACAGGCAGAAATGCCTTGCTGCCTTGGCGTCCCTCCGACACGCCAAGTGGTTCCAGGTTTGCATTTTGTTCTTCTATTTGTCTTTCGGTAGAGAATTCCTAAGTTTTAACTTGGCTAACTTTCACCATAAAGTTGTGGTAACATTGAAGAGCGCCGTGCTGAACTTAGCACCTGCTGGAGTGCGGATGCTAAAGGAGCACGCATAGACAAATTTGACACCACCACCCCCCCCCAAGGAGGCTTGTGACTGAGTAGGTGGGGAGCTGCTGCTTTGTGCCAAGAGTAATAACGTTATTACCATCCACTCGGTGGAATCGCTGCTGACCGCACACTTGGTCATGCACGCTCACCTTCGTTTACCCTTGACAAAGCAGCGCCCTGAGACTTGTGTGTTTCATGTCTGCCTTGCGTGCAGGGAGCTGCCACGGTGTAAAGAGCCTGTGCTTTATTCCTCTAGGCCAGAGCCAACGGGCTGAAGTCGTGTGTCATTGTCATCCGGGTCCTGAGGGACCTGTGCACCCGAGTGCCCACCTGGGGTCCCCTCAGAGGATGGGTAAGGCACCTCGGGTCATGTATGCAGAGACTTCCCAGATCCCAGGACTGTGTTGCTGATCAGTGGGCTGGAGTGGCCCGTTGGGGTGTGGCCGATGCATCCCATCACAGCTGCTTGTTGAGCTCCTGCTGAGTGCCACACCCTGGGTGGGGCTGAGAGCCAGACCAGAAACCCAGAGGAGGGTGCACAGCTCAGCCGATTGGGGACCAGCGGCGCACTTATTGGAACAGCTTCTCTGTGTAGAAGCTTTTGTAGCTGCTCTGAGACAAGGGTCAGCAGACTGAGGCCCACAGGCTTGTTTTGGCCAGTTGCCTCTTTCTATAGTCTGTTGTGAAGAATGGCTTTTTTTTTTTTTTAAACTATTTTTTAACTGGAGGATACTTGCTTTACAGTGTTGCGTGGGCTTCTGCTGTACGCAGCATGAATCAGCTCTAAGTATACCCACACCCCCTCCTGGTTTTTATCTTTCTAAATGCTTCACTTTAAGTACCTAAGCACACAGCTTCCGTTCTTGGCCCCTACAGCCTAAGAGGCCAGTCCCTGTACGGAAAAGTTGGTGGAGCCCCGTTCCCGGTGTGCTGTCTTTGGCTTGTGAACTTGGAGGGCCTTGACTCTGATACACACACACACAGGGTGACACTGCCTCAGAGTCAGCCTGCTCCCTCCTGGACTTGGTGACTAACTGTCCCTCTTCCCTTTCAGCCCCTCGAGCTTCTCTGTGAGAAGTCCATCGGCACAGCCAACAGACCCATGGGTGCCGGCGAGGCCCTGCGGAGGGTGCTGGAGTGCCTGGCTTCAGGCATCGTCATGCCAGGTTGGGGCCTTGTGCTTTGCAGGTGGCAGGGAAAGGAAAGGACAGGGACCGGGGCCCCGAGGCCACTTCCTGGCGGGTCCCCTGAGTGGGTTAGGGTAGCAGCAGCCCCGTGTCCCCCCAGGGGTGAAGCATGTGACTACCCTCTTGCACCATCATATCCAGCCCTGTGCCGGCTCCGCAGCTGTGACTCCGGGCGGATCCGGGGCAGTAGTGACCCACTCCCACGCGAGCTCCTTGCTCTGAGACACAAGTGGCTTATTTCTCTCACGGGCTGGTCGCCGAGTGGGTCACTGAGCCCGGCGTGTTTTCCAGAGCTGGGTGTGGATGGGGCGCGGGGGGTAACGCACTTGGTTCCCTCAGCCCAGCACCACGCTTCCGAGATGTTAAAAGATAATCCTCTGCATATCTTCCTTGTTTCCTGCCTTCAGATGGTTCTGGCATTTATGACCCTTGTGAAAAAGAAGCCACTGATGCTATTGGGCATCTAGACAGACAGCAACGGGAAGATATCACACAGAGTGCGCAGGTATAGTCGTCGCCATTGCCACGTGAGCCCTTACCCAGTCTGTAATCACTGGCTTCCAGTTCCGTTACTGGGTATTCTAAGGGTAGGCTCAGCTTGGGGCCCGAAGGTCAGGGGCTCGGGCCTGATACAGGGCGCCCCAACCTGGGCTGCTTCTTTCCCCTGGCGCCACGTGAGGTTGTCACCTGCCCCCCCTTGGCCTGCTCGAGTGCTGTTTTCAGACACCCGAGTTCAGCGGGGAGACGTATTTGCTATGTGGACTGCTCCAGGGGTCCTTCCCTTGCAGGCCCACCCCGTGGCTCCGTGTGGCAACCAGTCCCCAGGTTGGGGTCTCCTGTATTCTTTTGAGGGGGGTGGTCACAGGCTGGCCTTCCCCCACAGCAAGGCTGGGCCCTGGCAATCAGGCCGTCCCCTGGCTGGCGGAGGACCCCTTGCTGTCATAGGGGAGACCATTAGCAACCCCCTCAGCTCCCACCCTTTCCAGGAGGTATTAGTGAGCGCACACATGAGGGCTGGGAGTGCAGGGCGGCTCAGTCAGATTCCTCTTCCCCTTCTCCAGCATGCGCTGCGACTAGCTGCGTTCGGCCAGCTCCATAAAGTACTTGGTATGGACCCTCTGCCATCTAAGATGCCCAAGAAACCAAAGAATGAAAACCCAGTGGACTATACGGGTAAGGAGGCCGTGGGGCCTGGGCCCAGGCGGTGATGTCATCATGGGCTCTTGGCAGAGGACAGGCTAGAGTCTCAGGTGCTGCCGTCCTCGTCTTGTTTCAGTTCAAATACCCCCCAGCACCACCTACGCCATTACGCCTATGAAACGCCCGATGGAGGAAGATGGAGAGGAAAAGTCTCCTAGCAAAAAGAAGAAGAAGATTCAGAAAAAAGGTACAAGCATTCACACACAGTCCTTGTTTTAAGCCGCCCTCTGGCTTCATTGAAGGTTTAGCCCAAAGTGGTGACACACCTGTTTTTGTTCTGTTTTTCTCGGATGTGATGTGGAAGTCCTTTTAAGAATGATTGGTTGTGGGGTTCTCACAGCAGGAATACTGGAGGGGTTCTCACAGCAGGAATACTGGAGTGGTTTGCCAGTCTCTCCACCAGTGGAACACATTTTGTCAGAACTCCAGTATGACCCATCAATCTTGGATGGCCCTGCATGGCATGGCTCATAGCTTCATTGAGCTATGCAAGCTCCTTCGCCACGACAAGGCTGTGATCCATGAAGGGGATTGATTAAACTTAGCATGGGCATGGAACACAATTAAGATGGATGCACCTCAGCTGGTGACCACAGTCAGGGTATGTGTCTGGATAGCAGGGCAGGCAGGCCCTCAGCACATGTGGCCACCTGGTCTCCTGCCCAGTCCACCACGTGGTGTGTGGCGGGCGGGCGGGCAGTCAGAAGAGTGTCCCTGTCGGGGTCAGAATTGACTGGCATTGTAGAGCAGCATTGCCATGTTCTTTCTAGAGGAGAAGGCAGAGCCTCCACAAGCGATGAACGCCCTGATGAGATTGAACCAGCTCAAACCGGGGCTGCAGTACAAACTGATTTCGCAGACCGGTCCAGTACATGCCCCCATTTTCACCATGTCAGTGGAGGTGGACGGCAGCTCCTTCGAGGCCTCTGGGCCCTCCAAAAAGACTGCCAAGCTGCACGTGGCTGTGAAGGTGAGTGTGGCCAGCAGTGTGGTGGAATGCTGAAGTGCCTCCCTCAGCTTTGTGCCCATTAAGAGCCACTGCCCCCTGTTTAAGCACGAGGCTGAGGGAGGGAATGGAAACACTGAAACAGTTAGAGGCCTGACCAGTGGCCAAGTCACACACGGCCAGAATGCCGTCATTGATGGGTGCAGGGCCTCCAAATGTGGGTGGGCATTTGGTGGTCTTGGGAGCTTCAGGAAAGTGCCTCCGATTGGCTGGATGCTCCCTTAGAGCTGCTGATTCAGGATGCTGGATGTGGGAGAGTGCTTGTCTGGGTGAGGCCTTCCTCACTGGGGACACGGGGTCTCCCCCCCTGCAGGTGTTACAGGACATGGGCTTGCCCACGGGTGCTGAAGGCAGAGACTCCAGCAAAGGGGAGGACTCAGCCGAGGAGGCAGAGGCGAAGCCCGCCGTGGTGGCCCCTCCACCTGTGGTGGAGGCCGTCTCGACCCCCAGTGCCGCCTTCCCCTCGGACCCCACCACCGAGGTGAGCACAGGGTGGGTGCTGTGAGGCCCCGCAGGAGTGTCTCGGGGTCCCCTGAACAAGGACAGGCACTGGTCCTCGTTCTCTTCCTCCAGAAGCGTAACAGCCTTCCAGTCCCGGGCCTTGTGGAGGGAGTGGAAGTGTGCGCTGTCGAGGCCTGTGCTGGTGTTGACCCAACGTCGGGGGCGGCGCCTGGGAGGCCTGTAGTCAAGGCTAGGCTGTTTCCCTGAGAGAGATGGTGTGGGTGGAGGTGGTCCCATTGCTGGCAAGCCCACAGGTGATTTCCAGCGGGGCGGGCAGCAGAGTGAGTGGAGCGGAGGGCTTCAGACTGTTAACGCAGGGGCGGCTGCCGCCTGTGGAAGAGACCTCAGCTGAGTTTGTCGGTGCTCTTTTCTGTTTTCCCTGAGAACGTAAAACAGCAGGGGCCGATCCTGACCAAACATGGCAAGAACCCTGTCATGGAGCTCAACGAGAAAAGGCGGGGCCTCAAGTACGAGCTCATCTCAGAGACGGGCGGCAGCCACGACAAACGCTTCGTCATGGAGGCGAGTGGTCCCGGGCTGCTTCCTGTGGGGGCCTGGGGTCTTAGGAGATGCCCCCACTCCAAAGGCAGTGTTGGGTCAACCCTGACACACATCTGTTCTCCCCAGGTCGAGGTGGATGGCCAGAAGTTTCAGGGTGCTGGCTCAAACAAAAAGGTGGCCAAAGCATATGCCGCTCTGGCTGCACTAGAAAAGCTGTTCCCTGACGCCCCTCTCTCCCTGGAGGCCAACAAGAAGAAGAGAGCCCCTGTACCTGTGAGAGGTGGCCCAAAATTTGCTGCTAAGGTGAGTGTTCAGCCCTGAACTCTCCGGGTGCTCTCTCCTTGGTGGGTGTTCTCTGATCATTTGAGTGGGAGATAAATGTAAGTTGTCTGTTTTCTCTCCCATCCAGCCACATAACCCTGGGTTTGGCATGGGGGGCCCCATGCACAATGAAGTGCCCCCACCCCCCAACCTCCGAGGACGGGGAAGAGGAGGGAACATCCGTGGTCGAGGGAGAGGGAGAGGATTCGGTGGTGCCAACCATGGAGGCTACATGAATGCTGGTGAGGACCCTGTCCTGCACTGTCCCCAGGGGCCTGGCCTGCTCCCTGCAGTGGGTGGGGACCCCCCACCCCCACCCTGCCCCGGGGACTCACTGAGATGCAGAAGGAGGCAGGGGTGGGGCAGACCCATTTCCCATCCTGGTGACCCTGTCCATTCCCTTCCAGGTGCCGGGTATGGCAGCTACGGGTATGGAGGCAACTCAGCGACTGCTGGCTACAGTAAGTGCGTGTTTCTCTTTGTCTGAGCTTGGGAAGAAGCTGCAGTTTAGCTCCCGTGCCCTGAGTTAGAGCAGGGTGGCCCAGCAGTGTTAGCAGCAGCAGTCTCCCTGAGATTCATGGGCGGCTGGCACCTGTGTTTGGTGTTAGGGCAAGTGGTCCTCCAGCGCCCCCATGCTGCAGAAGCGTAATTTACTAAGTGTTAAGGCTCACATTTGTATAACTGGCAAATTCGTTAAAAGTCAAAATTTTAAATTTCTCTGCTTTAAGCCATGCGAAGCACCAAACCTGTGAATACGCTTTTCCTGACAGTGCACAGCTCTTGTCTTGAGAAGGAGCCTTCATTGGGGGGTTACAGGAGCAGAGAAATCTAAAACATGAATTTCAAATGTGGCGCTCTGTGCCCTTTTTCAAAAGAATTCTAATTTTTTTTCTCTGCTCTGTCTCCCCCTTTTGTAGGTGACTTTTTCACAGACTGCTACGGCTATCATGATTTTGGGTCTTCCTAGAGCATCTAAAAGTATTGCACACAAAATCAACTTTTTACTCCAATTTTCTCGAACTCCAAAACCCAAAGTGTCCGTGCTGTGCCCTGTGCTTCACTGGGTTTCTCAACCGTGGCTTGTCACCGCAGCTTGTCTGAAACTCTTAGCCTGCAGAATTTAAGACAATGGCAGTTTTTATCGTGATTTGCCTTTGAACTTGGTCCTATTGAAGTTCACAATAAGTGGAAAACAATTTTTCAGAGAATGCGTTTTTGTGCAGAACTGCACAGAATTCTAGAGCCAGCGTTGGTCAGCATCAAGGCAAAAGCCCACCTTTGCTTTTTATGGAAAGCATTACTTTATTTAAGAGACAGATAATAATGCATTTTAATCTACCTTTGTCTTAATTTACAGCAGGTTTTGTATGAATTTTTAACCTTTTAACAAATCCCCAAATCTCTTTGATGCCTTTGACAGTAACAGTTTCACCACATCCGAATCCAGAGCAATCTACTTTTTTTTCCATAAGCATGTGAAACATTGAGAACGTTGGGGAATTGTACATTGTTCTAAGTTAACCTCTTCCATATTTTGTAACTGCTCTGGTGGGTTCTTGTTCCGGAGTGCGATATTCTGTGGCTGCTTTAGCTAGAGGTGAACTCTCAAAGGTATCAAAACTGTGCTTCCACTCTTAGTGCAAGAAACAGACAGGCTTTAAGGAAATGAGAACGTAGAATTTTGCAAGTCCTAATCATTGCTGCAAATGCATGGGATTCTTAAGGAGTTTTCTTTTTTTTCCCTTTTTCTTTTAAATGGGGCTTTAAAAATATCCAAGTAGAAAGAGCCTAATACATAGCGCCTAATTCTCCTGTGAGGAGCCAAGCCCCCAGCAGGCCCGGTGCTGCCAGCCTGCTCCCACGACAGGTTCCAGAAGGCCTGGAAAGCTACTGCCCTCTCCCCCGAAGTTGCAGTCTTGAGCTGGGGGCGTCTCCCTGCAAGTAGAGGTGCACCAAGGCGTTCTGGCTCTTGAATGAGACCCTCGTTTCCTGGCGGGAGTCCTTCTTGGGAACAAGTATAGTTTTGGCTCTGATAAACAGTTCTTGCAGCAAAGCCTGCCTCCACATTGACTTGCAAGATTTTGCGTTTTTTCAGGCAAAAAACTGGTCAAAACGGTTACTCCATAGTTTGTTCCCAGGGGTTTGAAACATTCAGTGAAACTTTGATTGCATGGTGTATTTTTTTTTTTTTAGAACGTTATTGTTTTGAGAATAATGTCTTTTTATACCAGGAAATAGTTATCCTGAAATTTGAATATCCTGAAAGTTGAAAACTTTCCCTCCCCTTTATTATTTTTTTTTTAATCAATACATGTTAAAGTAACAAGCCCTCAGTCCTTGGCGTCTTCATTCATCCCCATGCTGGCGGAGGGGTGAGGAGGCGCTCAGTGCAGACCGTGGGCAGCTGAGGTGGTGGGCGTCTCAAGGGGGTACCGCCCCTCCTCCAGGAACCTTCGCGTGTTTTCTCTCTTGAATCGGGGACACAGCCTTCTCCCTGGTCTTTCTGCCTTCTGGTGGGCTGAGTGGAAGGGTCTTAAGGAAATTAAGTTATGTGGCAGATTAGCTCTATCCAAATTATTGTCCGAACCACCCAAGACACAGTGGTACGAGGTGTTTATCTGCAGTGGGTGGAAGGTCCTTGAGAACTCCCAGATTCACCTCATTCAAAAGACTGGAGACCATTGCTGCTAAATATGGGAAGGACTGGGTGTGTGGGAACATTCCCTCCTCCACCTCCCCTATTCTGGGCACACAAAATGGCTGGCTGTGTCGGGCAGCAGGCAACCAGAAGTAGTGTGCCTGGGTCTGCCTGCCCCAGGGACTCCGCTGCCCCTGCGTGAATGTCGGGGATTGCCCGGCTGGGTCGGGGAGCCACCCACATGACCTGACCTCCGCCTTCCATCACCCTGCCTTATCAGGCCCATCCCCCATGGGTCCATCTGAGTGTTGGGGTCTGTTAACAAACCAGGGTCTATACCGAGCGACCAGCTTGGGAAGGCGGGTATCCATCGTACATTCTCTGCTTCAGGGCTTGAGAATGTGGTGGCCTCGCTGCACACTTGTTAGTCCTGTCACTGGGTCCCGCCTGTGCCTGGCAGCTGTGCTGGGAATGAGGGGGGTACCCTGTGGGAGGCCTCACCTGGGCGTCGGGAACCCAACTCTGGTGTTTTCATTTCCCCTCGAGGCTGTGGAAGTCACACCCGGGAGACATCCCAAGTCATTGTTCAGACCAGCTAGTCTTCCATGAATGGCTTTGGCTTTAGGGGCGTCATTACAGAATATCTCCTGAGGTCACCCAGGGCTTGGACTGCAGAGCCTCTTCCCAGCACAGCGGGGAGTTGGGGGGTGAGGGGAGGAGGACAAGGTGGGAGCTGGCTGCTTCTGTGGGGCTTTGCTTTTCCTGTCACTGTTGGGGACATCTGGGTAGCAGCAAGCTAGTCGTGAATGTCATCCCGCGCTTGGAGCCCATCTCACTATAATGTTGACATCTGCCGCAAAAGCTGCTGTCGGCCTGCTGTCGTGCCGCTGCTTGGCAAAGATCCATTGTTGTCATCAGCTGATGGGTGAGTGGAGCTGAAGGCTGGGGCCAGCCCCAACCAGGCTGCCTGATGGACCGGAGCCACCACTCCTCGCTGTCCTGCCTCCGTCCCTCTGTCCCGGCCTGGGCCATGGGCTTGTGGGTCAGCCTTCAGGGCCCACAGCTGCGACCGCCCCCCTCCTGCCCTTCCCCGTCTCCCCCTCCTCCGCCTGACCTACTGCCTTCCTGTTTAGGTCAGTTCTACAGCAACGGAGGGCACTCGGGGAATGCCGGTGGTGGCGGCGGCGGGGGCGGTGGTGGCTCTTCTGGCTACGGCTCCTACTACCAAGGTGACAACTACAACTCCCCAGTGCCCCCAAAACACGCCGGGAAGAAGCAGCCGCACGGCGGCCAACAGAAGCCCTCATATGGCTCCGGCTACCAGCCCCACCAAGGCCAGCAGCAGTCCTACAGCCAGAGCCAGTACAGCAACTACGGGCCCCCGCAGGGCAAGCAGAAAGGCTACAATCACGGACAGGGCAACTATTCCTCATACTCCAACTCCTACGGCTCCCCTGGGGGCGGAGGCGGATCCGACTACAGCTACGAGAGCAAATTCAGTGAGTTGGCTGGCAGAGCACATCCCCAGGCATGGTGGAGAGCCGAGCGATGCTGGCTACAGGGCAGGCATTAGGAACACCCTGGATATGAATCTCCCAGTCTGAGTCTTTGCTGTCCCCTCCCTGTTGCCTTCTCCACGGTTCCAGAGGCTGGGTCACCAGAATAGATAAAGCCTGTGAGGCCAGGCCAGCTGCTATGAGCTTGCCTCCAGGGCTAGGCTCTGGAGACAGCCCCCAGCAGATCCTCAGTTATTGCCCCCTTCTTCACCTCCTGTGCAGACAGCACGACAAGACTCGGGGCATCCTTGGGCTGTCCTTCAGGAAGCCGTGCTGTCTGTGAGTGGTCCCGGCAGGGGTCGCTGGGTGCTGAGTGGGAGAAGGGAGGAGGCTTGGAGCAGGCACGATGCAATTGGGCTTCAGAATGTGGTGACATTTCAGAACTCCAGTGCCCCCTGGCACTTCATGGTTGGACTGGTTGCCAGGTTTAAACAGTTAAGACAGGGATTCCTGAGAAGGCCCAGGGTCTCAACCAAGGGTCTGCCACTGCCAGGGCTATAGCACAAAAAACCTGGAGTGCCCCAGCCACGTCGTGGCCACAGCGCTTAACCACACTGTCTTCTCTCCCCCAGATTACAGTGGTAGTGGAGGCAGAAGCGGCGGGAACAGCTACGGCTCAGGCGGATCGTCCTACAATCCAGGGTCACACGGGGGCTACGGAGGTTCTGGGGGTGGCTCCTCATACCAAGGCAAACAAGGTGGGCCTGGGGAAGCAGGTGGTGCAGTGGGGCGAGGGGAGGCTTAAACTCAGAGCCAACAGGGCCCATGGGGGCCCCATGAGGAGTGGTGTGGCCTGGCGTGTGCGGGGAGCAGCACAGATGGGGCTGTGGTGGCAGCTGCCACGTGGCTTCCGTGTGGGGTATGAGCCAGGCATGGGGGTCACAGGGTCTCAGCGGGGCTTCTGAGAACCTAGGCTTGCACACACCTCAAGCATTGGCTTCCAGAGCCAGACATTTTTGAGACCCAATTTTATTTTACTTCTTAAAACTTTTTGGCCACATAGCATGTGGGATCTTAGCTCCCCTACCAGCGATCAAACCTGAGCCCCCTGGCCCCACTAGGGAAGTCCAGAAATTGCCCTACTTGTAAATGTTGGCACCAGCAGGGGAAAATGCTGGGAACAGTGAGGGCCAAACAGCCTGCTGTGTGAACTCTGGTTGGGGGTGGTGAGTTCAGCCTTGGCTCAGGCAGTCCCCCATTACAGCTCCCATGGCTGATGCATGTGTGACAGCAGATCCCTACCCCTTGTAAGCCCGGCTTGATGGCCCCACCTCTCAGGGCTCATGTGAGAACCAGACCCACTGACCGTGGAAAGGCACTTAACAAAGTGGCGCTTCCAGGGCTGTTCTGCTGCTGTATCTCGTGAACAGACGCAGCTCTGTCTAGTGTTGGCTGATGCCTGAGCACTGACCGTGGGGTGGGCCTCATGCCCCTCACTTCTGACCCATTCCTCTCTCCCTTAGGAGGCTACTCATCACAGTCGAACTACAACTCCCCAGGGTCCGGCCAGAATTACAGCGGTCCTCCCAGCTCCTACCAGTCATCACAAGGGGGCTATGGCAGAAACGCAGACCACAGCATGAACTATCAATACAGATAAAGCCCCCGAGGGGGTGAAGATTTGTACCTTCTGCACTTACCCTCCCATTGTAAGATTCAGTTTTATGCATCACAGTTAACATGTCAGCCGGCCTCTCCAGGCCCCTCCGCCCTCCCCTGTCCACGTTGCCGTGTCGTGAGGTGCAGCTGGTCACCCCCGTGACCCGTCCTGTGACCCATATTTAGCCGTGTTTGGGACTCCGTGTCTTCAATGGTTTGTTAGTTGCCATTACAACTTTGTCTGAGTAGAGTTTTTTGAGTTCTTGCAGTTAAGTATCCCTCTGTCTATTTACGATTGGTGTTAGCGTTAACTCAGTTTGTCTTTAAATAGTTACGGAAGGGATACGTCATCTGTTAATGCTTTTGTGAAGTGAGTTAAACGAGCTTTCTGTATTTTAATGCTTTAGTGTTTCAGTTTTATAAGTGAAGATTTTATTTTAAAAACCAGTGGGAAAGAGTGGGGTTTCTTTTTTTTTTTTTTTTTTTGGAGTTTCCTTCTAATTCAGGCAGTACATCTGAATTGAGCTGAATGTATTGAGTTAAACGAGCTTTCTGTATTTTAATGCTTTAGTGTTTCAGTTTTATAAGTGAAGATTTTATTTTAAAAACCAGTGGGAAAGAGTGGGGTTTTTTTTTTTTTTTTTTTTTTTGGTATGTCTGCATCATTCAGGCAGTACATCTGAATTGAGCTGAATGTAGACAAATAAAGAAAAAACAAAATTCTGCGCCCGTCGTAGCCCTGGGTGTCTGGCCCACCTGCAGCAGGATGGGCAGGGTGCTGCCACCCTGTTCCCAGCACAGGAAGGCAGGGTGTGGGGGCAGTGCAGCTCCTGGTCACTAGAGAGGTCCAGGGCCAGCGACCCAGTGTCCTGGGAGCTTGGAGACCTAGTGCTGCAGCGACCCCGCAACCTCCGTTCTCCCGATGGCCTGCAGGGCAGCTTCCAGAGGCCCACACTGCTGTTTGGGTTTTGCTCACACATAATTGGGCAGGGTTTATTTTCTACTCTATGCATTCTAATAGAGTTTTTAAGTGCAATTTCAAATCACTGTGGAGTAAGGTGATTCCCGTACGTCAGTACACATAGCCGACTTTGAAGAAGCCCAGCTGAATCTGGCTGAAGGTTCCCAAGATCTGGGGAATGCAGCCCCAGAACCATCGCTGCAAGCAGGGCACTTCATGTCTCCAGCAGCCCCTGCCTGGGGCCTGTCCCACTGAGTACACTTTTGGGATGCCTCTCCATCTTGGGCATTTGCAGTGTTTGGGAGACATTTGTCACCTAGGGGTTATCAATGTGCAGATGGAGGAGTGGCCACCCCCCTCCCCAAGCAGCCCTTCTCAACTCCGGCCCTGCCCCAGGGAGAGAGTGGTGTTACCTGCCTGTCTGGAAGGAGCTCCTCGGTGAGGCCTGGGACTGCCTGTCTGCAGAAACCCATCTAGTCTTGCCTCTCCACTCTTAGACCGTGTACTGTTCATGTTCTGAGCCCCAGGTGGCAGCCTGGCCTCCCACGCTTGGTTAACCTTGGCCATTGGAAGAAGTGTGAACCATTCTTGATGCAGAGGCACTCAACTGAGGCAGAAACCATCCAGCATGCCTTCAGAGGATAAAGATTTGCCTCCTTGGGGAGGTGAAGGAAAGGTGATTGCACTAAAAAAAAACATAAGAATTTTGTCAACTGCCAGAGCAGAGGCGGCTCTGGATATCAAATGGTCCAGCTTGGGGAATGGGGCCTGAAGTGCCCTGGTATCCCTTCAGTATATGTGCTAGTGGAGATCGATGCAGGGGCTCCACCGAGAGAGACCCACAACGAGATCCCTGGGATCCTGTGCTTGAGATGATAAAGGTGTGGGCAGAAGCTGTGTCACTCAGAAGTCCGTGGAGAGGAACACTCCTGTGCCGCCTGCCACATGACTTTAGCTCTGGACCTGCATTCTCCACACAGGTTTCACCATGGGTTTCCCAACAGCATCCGCCGCCACCATTCACATTTCTGGATGCTGACACCACAAGGGACACCATCTCAAGATCAAAGAAAGCAGCGGAGGAAGATGTCCCTGTGGTGACAACGTCTTCACGGACTTGGGACTTGCTGCCATGGCCTTCTCTTGGGGGAAGGGCTGGGGCCCAGGTGGCTTATCTTTGATGGAGGCCTGACCGAGTCCCTCCCACCATCAGGACAAGTTTATTGGGAAGAAGCAGGATTGCCGTCTTGCCGCCTCCAGCTCCTGGTGGCTCCAGGCATCCCTTGGTTTGTGACAGCATAATGCCAGTCTCCGCCTGTGTCTTCACATGAACTTTTCCTGTGAGTCTTTGTGTAAGGATAACGGTCACTGGATTTGGGCGCACCCTGGTCTAGGATGCATTCTTGCCATGATCCTTTTTGAAAAAAAATCTAAAAAGATATGTTCCCAGGTAAAGTTAGGTTCACAGGTATTGGTGGTTGGGAATTGGACAGACCTGTTTGGGGAAACACTTCAACCCAGTACAAGGCTGGGTAAAGGTTCTACCCTCCATTGGTGCCATAGCCCTGGAAGCTTGTCAACCACAGTTAGGATTACTGTAGTCAGGTGTGGGCAGCACAGAGCCAACAGCATCTTTTCAGCAAGGTGAGTATCTGTCTGAGGAGCCCACTTGTGATCACAGATCCCTCGTCACCCTGACTCTGCTCAGGGACCTTGGTGGCGGTGATGCAGCTGACCATGGACAGTATCCCAGCCCTTGGGACCTACCACCGCAGGAAGCTGGATTCAGCAAGATGTGGCTACACCTTAGCATGGAGAAGGCCTTGCTGCTCACACCTCACCTCTTCAGAGCTGATCCAAGCTTACCCAGGCCTGTTGCCCTCTAAGCCTTGGAGGCCAGTGTGGAGGAGGTGGTCTCCAGCTCCTCCTCAGCCATGGCCATGGTAGGCAACAGCTGGCTTATGGAGAGACACGTTGGCCCATGTGTTGCTGGAGGATGGTGTCGTGTCCTTGAGTCACCAGCAGACAGCACCAGGAGCCTCAGCACAAGGATCGATTGGTGGCCCACACCTTTAGCAAGTTGATCAGGACAGGGTACTTGGTTGGATAGGCCGTGGGGGTCAATGACCTGGGACCAGACACCACCCTGAAGGGTGTTTTTGGAGGGAAGGTAGGAAGGGAGAAAGTATTATGACTTAATGCCTCATGGTGGTAAGAGATGATGTCACAGGGAAGGACAGGGCCTTGCCAGGAATTTGAACTGGTCACAGGGTGTAAGTACTGGGGACTAGTGACCTCCGACGAAAGAGGGCCTTTAGTAGCAATGGTGGAGACAAAAATCGGGGACATACGCCTCTCTAGATTTGCAGTCACCGGGGCCCTGGTTGTGCCTAGGTGCAGTCTGAGCTGCCCGACTACCCTCTACCCTAACAGGGAGACATTCATTTGTTCTCTCTGACCATTAGCCCGTTCTGGTGTAATCAGCTGGGCTGTCCAGCCTCAGGATTCGGTGTCCAGGTGTGAGCCTTATGGGGCTCTTCCTTCCCTTCACAGGCCTGTTCTAAAACCTCTGGACACAATTTTGTGCAGCAATGCAGCACACATTTTTGGCTGAAATGCTCATTCTAACCCACTCCAGAATAAATGAAAATTTACTGTGCTCATTTGTTTCATTCACATAACGTATTTATTGGGTATTGCGTATGTTTCAGCCCTGTACTTAGCACTGGGAATATGGCAGTGAACCTGGTCCTAGGCCTCAAGGAGGTTCCAGGCACCAAGAGGGCCCCTCCCAGCTTGGGTGGAGTGTTAGGGGAAGGCATTCTATGTCTGGAGTGAGACAATATGGTTGAGTGGGACCAAAAGGTGTGTTGAGGATTAGCCAAGGGACTGACATGCTCAGAAAATTCTGGGAGGTGTGAATGTAATTCAAGGAGCTATACTCAGGTGAGTGAGCATTGTGTTCATGAAAAGGGAGAAGTGTGACTTGATGTAAGCCTGGAGCCATCCAGTGCAGGGGCTTGATTGGCAAGCAGAGTTCTCAACTTCATCCTGAGGACAACAGAGAGCCGTGGAAAGATTCTGAGCTAGAAAGAACGTGCTCCAGAGCAATTCTTTCCGATGTTGGGCAAAGAACCTGTGGTAGAGGCGAAAATAGACTGAGAGACCGACAAAAAGGTCCGTTCTGCAACAACTGAGCTGAGGTTCAGAGTGATGCTGAGGTTCAGAGTGATGCTGTGGTCAAAGTCCGCTGGACTTTGCGAGGGACCACCTTCCAGACCCAGGAGGGGTTAAAACTGCATATCCTAAACAGCTGACTGGGACAAAGAGTGATGCATTATCTTGGACCAAGATAAGGAGAGGAGTCCAGGCTCACTACTCTGTTCTGTTGTGGGGGAGACAGGCTGGAATGTTCAGGCAGCGGCCATAGAGGTCATGCCACACAGGTCGGAAGTCCTAGCCCGTGGCCTTTCTGGTGTTTCCCAAAAAGCTGGCCTGGCACCAGGCTGTGGGGGCTGAGACTAGCACACGAGGACTGCTCCCAGCCCTGTCTGAATGAGTCAGGGAAAACATCGTCCCGGCTCCTGGGACAACTGATCCGATCCTGAGGCTGCAAGGACTTCTATTTCAACGTCAGAGGTACCCCTAACTCCGCTCCAGAGCAAACCCAACTCCTGCCGTTCTGCATCTGAGAACCGTAGTAGCTACCCCGTAAGGAGAACCCCCTACTTCCAGTTTTGGGGGCTCTTCTGCACAGTTGCGTCGACCCCATGGAGGGAAGGGTTGGGGGATTCACTGAGACTTTCAACCTGGGAAAGTACACCGGCTTCCACTTGGGTGCAGAAACCATCCAAGGATCGGTTTTTCCAAATTACCTTTTCGAAAATGACCTCTTTCAAGCTCTTAGGACCGCCTCTTGAGCAAGTTCAACAGGGCCAATCAACAATCCCCACTCCGCCTAGAGGCTTTCCACAGGCTCTGCCTCTCAACGTCGTTCGGTGCGTCATCGCTCCAACGCTCCCAATTGGACAGTTCCTGAAGCTCCTACCTATTGGGTGAGCCCTTTGTGCGCGGCGCGCGGCTTTTAATAGGCCGCTTCTTCAGGCTCCGCCCCCAGGTCTGCAGCTTCCCTGGCCTGGGGGCGGGGCGGGGTGGTGGGGTGGTGCATGGCGCTGTCCAGAGTGCTGAAGTCACGCACCCTGCTCCGGACGGCCTTGTGGCGCCCCACCAGGCCTCCCTGCTGAACAGCGCTAAAATCTTAAAGCAGGTGCCACTGAGCCTCGGCTGCAACCTACCTCCAGCCCCCGATTTTACCTCTGGGGATAGGAAAACCTCTCTAAACGCTCCGTTAAGAAACCGCCACGCTCCTATCTAGCTCAGAGGAATCCCAGAGTCCCCAATGCTAACCAGGGGTCTTGCGCCATCTCCACCTTCTGCGCCTTCCCTCACTCCCTGCAGCCACATTGCTCTCCCCGCTGCACCGCAAGTGATCCGGGTTCATTCCTACCTCAGCAGAGAATGTGCTCTCATGGTTCCCACCGCCTAAAATGACCTCTCAGATCTCATTTGAGTCCCTCTTCATTTCCTTCAGGCCTTGACTCAAACCTTATTGAGGTTGATCTAGACCACTCTACTTAAAATAGTCACCTCCCAACTCCTCTCCTGCCCTCATTATTCCCCCAACACTCTTCACTACCTGAGACTGATATGTTCTACAAATTTTTCTTGTTCATACTTCCAGGGCATGGATTTTTGTCTGCTTGTTTGCTGCTATGTTACCAGCAGTGAGAACAGTGCCTGACACAGAGTTGGTGCTCCCTAATATCCATTGCATGTATATTCATGTGTGTGTTTTGGCGTTTACTGTTTACTTTCATCATGATGCTCTGTCCCATTTTAAAGATGAAGAAACTGAGGTAGAGTGCCCATGATTTGACCAAAGTCACCTGGTTTCTGAGGGGCAGAGCCTGAATCCCCTTTTCTGGTTCTTCTGGCTGTAACCCTTTTGTCTCTGCCCTGAGCTAAAATCCCTAATACTGCCTTATTCAGGAAAAAAAGATGTATAAGAGGGTGGCTTCATGGGGCTCGGACAGAACTAGATTTCCTTCTTTTTAAAAAACTTTCCTTATTTGACTGTGCTGGGTCTTCACTGCTGCTTGGGCTTTTTTCTGGGGCTACTCTCTAGTTGTGGTGTTTGGGCTTCACTACAGTGGCTTCTATTGTTGTAGAGCTTGAACTCTCAGACACACAGCTTCAGTAGTTGCGGTTCCTGGGCTCTAGAGCACAGGCTCAGTAGTTGTGGCACATGGGCTTAGTTGCTCCGCAGCACGTGGGATCTTCCCGGATCAGGGATCAAACCCACGTCTCCCGTATTGGCAGGTGGATTCCTTGCCACCAAAACTAGATTTCAATTCCTGTTCCTTGATTACTACTCATGTGACCAGGAGTGAGTTAGAAAATATCTCTGCCTCAGTGACTTTATTCATAAAATGGAGATAATAGCACCCGCCTTGTTATACTGTGAGAGTCAAATGAGGCAATGACAGCATATGGCTTCGCAGACACCTGACACACACTGGTACTTGCTCTGTTAGTGTTGGCAATGTTGGTTCTTAAACATCACCATCATATTATTATCTGGCAGAATTAAAAAGAAATACTAAAAACTAGGAGATTGAGGCTAGAAAGTCTATAGGAAGAATGTTTCAAGAAGGTGGGAGTGAAGAATAGATGCCAAACCTCACTGGGAATAAGACAGATGCACATTAAAAATGGCACGGAGTTACCAGAGTTCTCCTTTTAATGCAGCAGGTGAGGAGAGAGGGTGGAGAGGTTGTGCTTCTGTTCTGTCAGTATAGTTGCCACAAACTTTATAGAGGGCATTTGCTAGGATCTCATTATAGTCTTTGACCTAGTCATCCAGCTGCTGGAAAATTTTCCTAAAGATATACGTGTTGCCCTGTGAAATGGTTTAAATACAAGATTATTCATTGCAGCCTTGTTTGTAGAAGCAAAAGATTTTACTCACAACCCAAGTGAAAAACAACCTGATAAGCAAGAGGTGGACTATCCATACTCTGGGATACTGGGCAACTTTTTAAAAAATGTAAGAACGGAAATTCCCAGGCAGTCCAATGGTTAGGACTCCATGCTTTCACTCTGAGGGCCCGGGTTCAACCTCTGGCCAGGAAACTAAGATCCCCTCCAAATTTTTGCTCAGTTCAGTCGCTCAGTCGTGTCCAACTCTGCGACCTCATGGACTGGAGCACGCCAGGCTTCCCTGTCCATCACCAACTCCCGGAGTTTACTCACTCATGCCCGATGCCATCCAACCATCTCATCCTCTGTCATCCCCTTCTCTTTCTGCCTTCAGTCTTTCCCAGCATCAGGGTCTTTTCAAATGAGTCAGTTCTTCGCATCAGGTGGCCAAAGTATCGGAGTTTTTTTTTTCAATGAATAAATTTTAAAAAGAATAAGAAGACTATGTACTAACATGAAATAGCCTCCAAGGTGTACACAAAAAGTGAAGTACACTCCCTACAGTAACTAGCAAGCCTGCTTTCGTGAACAAAGGGATATATGTAAATAAGTATGTAATAATATTTGCTTCTCTTTGCATGAAAAAAAAGCAAACACTAGAAGGACATAAGAATCTGATAAAACATGTTATTAGGAAAGGCTGAACTGGAAAGTGGGTGGATATGTTGGAAAGTCTGTGGGGGATGAGGTGGGACTGAGTTTGTTCACCTTTTGTTTTTTGAGTTTTTTAATACACTTGGATATGCGGAAAATTAAAAATGCAGAAAAGTGTATAAAATACAAAAGTGCAGTTCAATGAATACTCTTGTATTTACAATCTCCAAAGATCACTATTTTGTATTTTTGTTCCATATGGAGATTTTATATATAAGCTCAGCTCAGCTGTGTTGGATCTGCTACCAAATTATCTGAGTAATGAAAGATGTCAAGACAAATACAGTATACTAATGCATATATATGGAATTTAGAAAGATGGTAACGATAACCCTATATGCAAAACAGAAAAAGAGACACAGATGTACAGAACAGACTTTTGGACTCTGTGGGAGAAGGCAAGGGTGGGATGTTT